CTCTCCTTTTCTATCCGGTCGTAAACTTATCATTTGGAAGCTTATTAAACTTGCCTGTCGTTAATAAAAGAAAAGTATTTTTTTGTTTTTGTCAATGCTCGTTTTTTATTGGAGCATAGGTATCATTTACCGGTAGCTAACTACCATGAATAAACCACAAAAGAACGAGCAGAATACTCTATTTCTATTTCATTTCAAATTGAAAGAGCATGATAAATATATAAAGCTTGTTGCAGTTTTTTTTTATTAGTTTGAAGAAAACAACCAAAATAAAAACGCTGGGACCAGTAGGAATGCCTCATTCTTGTCACTTCAACATGGCACAGCGCGAGTTCATCTCTACCGGTATCACTGGCATTCTCGTCAAATATGTTACTTTTATGGATAGACATTTTGTTAGTGCTGTATGTGAGCTTGGCCGCATTCGTCTCAGCGTGAAGATCAGTATTCGCCGCTCATTCACGTTGGTTGCTCACGAGCAGCGAACACGCCTTACTCATACCAGTGTTCTTTTATCATTCATCCATTATTACATGGACGTCGCAACAGCGAAGTTGACGCTGAACACACGCGCTCTTGTCCCGTGTCTCACTACAGTTACGGACCAGCGTGGTACAACAGGTGTGTAATGAAAAAATCACCTCAACTTGGACGGAATCGTTGGAATTCGTCTCTGATTTCTGCAAGGGAAAACGCGCGTGACCCACAAAAAAGACTTCCACTTCATGACACGATGCTCCTACTCCCAAATCTCCTTGCGTCTGCCCGTCCCTATTAGTCAACGAAGGCTCGCCACTCTTCGTCGCTATGCCCTGAAGGCGTCTTATCCTCTAAATCTGTATCGAAACTTGCCTCCTGTCGCAATTGTACCAGCGTTTGGACTCGACGTGACCTCCCCGTAGCCGGTAACGTCCCCAATCAGACATTCCTCGGTGATCCTTGCTCCTTTGAAAATGGCACAAAGATCGCGCGGGTCCTGAAGCAAACGAGAAAACTCTTCGAGGAAGTCTAGTTCGAAGTCAAACGAGATAATGTTGTGCGTCTGCGTGTCAAAGACGAAGTCAAACTTGCCGACGCCTTTGAACACACGCCCCAACAACTTGGTCACAATGCGTGGATATTGTCGTAGTGCTTCAGGAAACATGACCTCCACCGTGTCTCGTGTTACGATGTGTTTGTAGCTGGCATAGGACGTGACGACCGTGTGCCCTTCCATCGAGAGGACTTGAGAGCGCAGGTAGTGAAATTCGAGGCCGGAGAGCGCCTTTGTGTATTCTTCCCACTGATGCAGCATCACGCCACGTCCGCCAAACCCACCGATACTCAGGTTCTCGTCCATAGTTTGCATAACGTACTGAGTCGCATCAAGCGGGGAGCCTGGACGATAGCCGTTCTCAAATACACGGTGGTACTCTTGCACTGTCTTGACGTAGTAGCCATCCAGCGCATCACGACGATTGAAAGTGCGGGCGTCAAGAATATGCTGATACTCTGCCAAGCGTTGGATCTCCTGTTGAAGATGCATGACGTCCAGCTCCAAGTTATAGAGCTGCGAAGCCTGGAATCGCGCGTCCGCCATTTGAGCTTCTTGCGTCGATTGGGGGCTCTTCTCTCTGCGGCGAGTGCTGTGACGGCTGGTACTCGCGGTGCGAGAACAGGTCGAGATCGTACTGGAGTCACGTCGAAGGTATCGGCTATGGCATTGAACGGATGCATCGCTGCTTGGCGAGATGTCGTGTACCTTTGGCGAATTCTCGACTGATTGTTTTCTGTCGGAGGTCGGTTGAGTTGCCATTCGACTGTTAGCTTCGGGCGTTTTCTGTTTCGGTCGCTTACGTCCCATAGCCAGCATATGAAGTTGCGGCACGCAAATACCTAGGGGAAGTACAGAGCACACCTTTCGAATGAGGAGCACGAAATACTCTCTGGATTTACTACTGAAATGGTTGCATCGTGATGGGCCCCGATTGTCAAGAGGATCAGCGCCACACACCAGTTAACCTACG